ACGCAAACACCCGCCGCTCGCGAAGACATGCACGGGCCCCCGCCGAGTGCCAGAGCTCATTGTCCCTTTGTGCCGCCCGGCAGGTTCGATGGGTGATATTCACAAGGACTCCAAATCCACTGAGAGTCTCACCACGCAATCGCAAGGTAAGACTGCCACTAATTATTTAAATCCTTCACATTAACATCACCATTGTACTATAACACGCTTTATATTAACATCATATAAATCCTTATCAAATTATCTCATTACTTTTTCTCAACCCCATCCGTAACGCTATGCATCTTACAACTAGTTTCCATTGAAACCAAAAAGTTATTACTTTATTTATAATTACGTTTAAAATTTTGTTAGTTATTTAAAAATCATTTTTACTGAAGTTTGTGATGAGAGCCTTATTTGGTTGACCTTAGAGATTATCTGTTACTGTAGATTAACGCGTGAACGTTGTAAAATACGGCGGTGTGTGATGCGTGTGCACTTGTTGTGGGCAGGGAGCAGCGCGTCGGAGGCGTCGCTGGAGGCGTCGCGCGGCCCGTCCGCCGGCGGGGAGGAGTCCGGCCGAGCCGCGGGGCCGCGCTCTGACCGAGCTCTGTGCAGGGGCGGCGCGGCCGGCTCGGCGCTCGGCTCGGCGCTCGGCTCGGCGGGCGGCTCGGCGCTCGGCTCGGGCGGGCGGCGGCGGCGCACCCTCTCGCTCGGCGCCGACGAGCTGCTCTCGCGCCGCTGCACCGGCACCGTCGACGTCTGGTGGCTCTACGACGACGGAGGTGACCGATGTCATGCCGAAACGAAACGAAACGAAACACACGAATCCCAACACGGAACACGTCTATGCAATTACATTTAATTTCCTCTCAATAAATCGAAGACTGCATTAGATGTTGTAGGTTCACATTAATGAAAAAAAATATTGTTGATTTAGCGCTTCTAATATTTATTTTCAAAATCAAAGTAAATAATTTCACTTTTAAATAATAGTTTGGAATTTTAACTAAAAAAATGATCTCCAGAAGCACGTATGTATATCGAACATGGCAGTGAGAACGTTAGGCTTGGCTGGGAGTAGGTCACTAACGGATGGCCGGCAGGTCTGACGCTGCTGCTGCCGTACATCCTGTCGACGCGGCGCGCCTGGGCCTCGTGCCCGCTGCGCGTCTTCACGCTGGCCAACAAGGCCACCGAGCTGGAGATCGAGGAGAGGAAGTGAGTGTCCTTCTCTCGTCTCGGGTCACATCGACATTCATCCGTCCTCGCCAAAGGTGACGGGTCTTCTTTTAATTTCGGAATAAAGTCACTCACTGAAATGTAAAGCATGGCGTCGCTGCTGTCCAAGTTCCGCATCGACTACTCGGCGCTGAAGATGGTGTCGGACGTGAACCGGCGGCCGCGGGACTCGACGCTGGCCTACTTCGACGCGCTCATCGCGCCCTTCCTGGCGGCGGACGGCGAGCGAGGTGAGTGCGCCGAGCGCTCGGGCCGAGAGAGCCGAGCCAGCCGAGCGAGCCGAGCATGTGGGCACGTTGGCACGTTGGCGCAGGCGGCGTGACGGCGGCGGAGCTGGCGGCGGCGCGGTCGCGCACGCACCGGCACCTGCGCGTGCGCGAGCTCATCGGCGAGCTGTCGGGCGGCGCGCGGCTGGTGTGCGTCACGCAGCCGATGCCGCGGCGGCGCGCCGTGCTGCCGCCCGCGCTCTACGCCGCCTGGCTGCACGCGCTGGCCTCGGCCGCCGAGCGCGTGCTGCTCGTGCGCGGCAACCACGCCGCCGTGCTCACCTTCTACTCGTAGCGCCCGCGCCGCCCGCGCCGCATCATGAATATATTTATTGAAATAAACAAATATAACCTACTCTTTGTTATTGTTTCTCGATGGTGATCCGTCTTCCATGCATATCACGACCAGGTTGCGACCTGAGCGCGGCTTCCGTTCATCTTCCCTCATTAAACGAAACATGATTCATATGTACATGCATAATTATTATTATAATTTTATAAAACGAATATACATAATTATACTGAACAACGCGCAGAAGTCAACTAGGCATTTGTTTAAAAATAAATAAGCACATAGCCGTGATGACTCAGTGCCCGGTCGCTCGCTTTTAATTCAATACTCGAGTTCAAATCCCAGTGTCGACACCAATGAAACTGTTAATTATTTTAAGTGTTGGCTTATCACGTGCTCAGCGGTGAGGATCATGACGAAACTACATATTTTCTATATAATAACAAAAAATATTTCGAAGATATTTTAAATCCGCCAATCCGCAGTGGGGTCTCGTAATGGATTTAGCCCTGAAGCCTTCTGTACTACTTTACTTCTTGTCGCAAAGAGATTCACGATCACATTAAAACAACATTTCCGGATTCAGGTACTTCACATACCACTGTGTAAACGTAAACGTGGGGGGCAGAATTGAAACGAGACAGAAAGAACGTCCAAGATGACCGTTGCTTCGGCCGTCCTTAGACATCTACAACAGTGAAGACATTTTCAAAAAGTTCATATTGGCTGAACGAAGGCTGTCTCTCTGGGGATTTCTGACGCTAAAGACTTCTCAAATGAACTAACGCAAAACATCCTAATCATGAACTTGGGTTGCTTTCGGTCGAGCAACAACAATTACACCCCAGAATCAAAACCACCTAAACAATGAAAAAAATGACATTATAATAGGATGGTAAGGGTGTCATCATGGTGGGCTCTCTTCGAAAATTAAAAAAAAAACATTGCAGCGGATTTCTGCATCCTCTTAAGTCGATCACGTGAAGAATAAAAAAAAGCGCTTGCTCAGAAATACAAAACATTTAAAAGCTTATCTTATTCTTATATTAACTTATAGTAGAGCCTGCTACGGCCAATTCCAATTCAGTCTGAAATAGAGAATATGGTAGAGCGAGTCAAAATTATAGTCTAAAGAAATGGAGCTATTTAAAACTGACAAAACTCATAGGTGTTTAATACGTGTGTTTTCAGCGCAAAGACGAGCCCCTCACCCTTGCTTCTACTTTTCAAGTTGTTTCCTTATACTATATTGCCTGCGTTCAGTTTCTGGGAGTAGAAATTAAATTGCCATGATGTCAACTTTGGATGACTTTTGAAGTCTAAAGTTAAAGCAGTTGTATAAGAGTGCGAGACACGTTCTCACCGCCCCCAGCCACCGATTAGCTAATTGCACAGTCGACGGCCATCGGGGTTTCGGTCCGAACCACGACCTCGATGGCCCTTAGATGACACACCATAGTTAAACGCACGCATGAGCACATGCGTGGCCCTACCCACAGCGGAGGGCCCAAACCCGTGGGTTCTGGCTAGCCCACCGGTTCTGCGTCAGATGAAGCTTTAATAGTCTCGGGACTGAAAGCAAAAACATCAGTTAACACAAGATACAAGATTTTATCAATTCGAAACTAAGTTTTAAGTCCTAGTGTCTCTAGCCCTAAAATGTGATTTTTTAACATGCAAGTTGCCAAACGAGCGGGCAGTTCACCTGATGTTAAGTTAATATCGCCACCCATGGACATCTGCTACTATATGCACCCGAGGGGTTGCAGAGGCGTTGACAACCTTTTGAAAATTGGGCACATAATGTACTTATTTGTATTCTACGTCGTCTACGGGACAATAATATTTGATGTCTCGGTTAATCGTGTACAAATCGTGTCCTATGCGATGGTTCGTTTTCTAAACCGCGACCTAACGCAATTATCTCTAGTTATCCACGATTGGAGTGGCGCAGCGGTGAGCGGCGGTCAGCCAGTGATCGCATCATCAGTCGGCTCGTCTCAGTCATTCGATTCGACGATTCGACGTTCAGTCAGTCGGTTCGTGAACGCCGTTCGAGTGTGTTGGTGGGATTGTTGCTGTCGCCGTCGCGATCTCCCGCGCAAATCACGCCCTATATTCGAAAAAGTGGTGTGTCAACTTTTTAGTGCGTTTTAAACGAGTGCCACCAGTATGCGTGTTAATTTAACGATTTCAATTTAGTAGGTGGTCGCAGAGAGCCGGATCCTACGGACAGAGGTAAACATGCCATTTTTCTTCTAACATTATTAGGTATAAACGTCCGCCGTCGAGAAGTTTATTTTGTGTTTTTTAATCAGCAGTTGAATGGTAATATCGCACGGACGTCGAATTCTTGTTTTCAAACTTTTTCAAGGTTGCGCGTTAAATGTTTCGTATGTGGTACATACAACTTGTCTTTTCGTTTCGCTGTAGGAAACGAGAGTCGAATTTAAATTGCATTTTTATTTATCATAATATTACATAGTACGTTTAGTGGAAAGCAAAGACAGGAAGGAAAATCATAATGATGAAATATAAAAAACAATCAGAGTGGGAAAAATGTATTTAGCATTTTATTAAACTTGCGTGATACATAGTGACAAAATATAATTTATACCTGTATTCAATGTAAGCTGCCATTTAAGAACAGATAGTGACCCTTATTCAAGTATTTTTATAACTACTAATATAGTAATAATTAAAACTATATTACCTATATTATTTATTTTTGCCAAGTGGACATTTGTGACAATTTCCATAACCTTCTTTCATGATATGCAATAAGCCATTAATTTACTGAAGTGTCCGCAGTGGCATATGCTTTTGCCAGTCAATTTTTTTAATAGTATTTAAAATACAGCTACATCAACAACATATCCAAGCACTTTTAATAAAAAATATAAATCAGAATTATTATTTTAATTACTTTTGCCACTATTGTCATTGGATACACGACAGAGAAACATAACCAAAACAATACGTGTAGTCTCGAAGTAAAAATATCCGCAGAAATTTATTTACAAACATACAGACACAATGTTTATCACATAATATTCTTCCAGTAGTGGGGATCAAATCCACATCCCCTTACGCAAGAGACAAGTCCACTATTCGCTACGCTAATCGATTGGTCATAGGTAGGAATGGAAGAAGTTCTATCTTATTTTTTTTTGGTCGTCTTCAATACGCGATATTTGCAGTAATTGTATCTGCATTCGACCTTGTATTTATTATTGAACAACTTTTGTGCAATGTGTCCATTTTAAATACGACTTTGTGACAAATTCATAAAAATTAACAAGAATTTTGGTGCTCATTCATGAGGGTATTCAGTATAAATATGCACATATTAGCTGTTGACCGCGACCACGTCTGCGTAGAATAGGCTGAAGGCGTAACATTCAGACAGAAAGACATATGTACATAAAAATATGTATATAAATTATAGCTTATGTTTTATTCTGATGTATAAGCTATATTATTGTAAAGTTTCATTAAAATCCATTCAGTAGTATTTGCGTGAAAGAGTAAGAAACACCCATCCATACATACAAACTTTCGCCTTTATAATATTAGTAAGGATTTACCGAGTTTATTACGTACTGTTAATAATTTAATTACGATTTATACTTAAAATATGAGTAAAATGTAAAAAAGGGTCTATAAAAGAACCCGTCACGAAAACGAACTTTCAATCTTAATGTCTTAGAAAATCTACATGAGCTTAGATAGCATACTGAATATAGTTCGTGAAGAACGCTTAAAGTTATATTGCTATCCCGTTCTCCACAGATAAACCCACAACAATATAAACCAACAAAAGTTATAAAGCTATGATGCCTCGTTCGCCGTTACTTTTTTGTTGTATTGTACAATTGTTGAAGGAGACGTCTAGTTGTTTCGTACAAGTCGTGGCCTTAATTTAAGAAGCATGACATGAAAGTGAAACTCGGTGCCAAAACGTTAGTTCCAAGTCGCTGCAATTGAGCGCGCCCTGATCTTTTATGTTGTGTATTGAAATTACATCTAAATATCGATATCGAAGGGACGTACAACAGAGCAGTCATTGGACTGCTAAGTTTTAAAGTCGTTTAAATGAAGCTCATCGACGGCGAAAACACGTAACTATTGATGATATTTTGTGAACTGGGTACTCGTGGAGAGTGTATTATTATATTAAGAGCTGTATGTAAGTTTCATTTTGTTTTTATATGTTAATGGTTTAATGATAGTATGTGTCGGGATAAGCTCAGACACCCGAAGTAAAACACAAGGATGGATACGGTTATAAACTGTTTCATTAATTTAAACTTTACTAATGTGTTAATAAATTATGCATCACTAAATCGGCATTCATTTTACAATAGGTTGACACACAATTAATATTAATACAGATTAAATAATAGATCGGGATTTTACACCAGCCAAATAGTTGGCACGAGTACCGACTGGCTGAGAGGGAGGCAGGGACTCGTATTGAGACAGCAGTCCGTGCACCGAGACGCATTCGTTGGAAATGCGTACAGGCACATTTTTTTGGGCTTGTGAGCCACTGTTGCCCTTAGGGGTCTGTACAGTTTCGCCAGACTTGAGGTGGCCGGGCGATGCTCGGGGCGCCTAGCCTGAACCTCGGCGTATTATTATTACGCCTTATGGTGACTAAGCTCGAGGGCTCGGGCCGTCACGCTATTATTGTCACCGGTTTGGGAGGCCGCCAAGCTCTTAGGGCGCTTTGGCGGGCGCTCCATGGAGTAATCAGGCTCAAGGGTCCCCGAGAGGGGACCTCGACTTGGGCTGTCACTCAATACGCCTTTATCATTCCGATTCGAGAGTGCCCGAGAGGGCCGCTTATAGCTCGATCGGTAGCTGTTAACTGACTGGGACAATTTCAAGGCCTATCTTTACTACCACTTCGTAAAGCCTGGGCGCTGGGAGAAGTGGCGGAAGAAACTCCAGCAAGCGTACAGACACAACGGAGCGGTCTGTTTTATACTCACTACTACCAAGCGTCAGGTGCACGTGCTGCTAGCGCATAATATCGCTGTCTCTTTCTTGCATTACATTTTAGTTACCGCCGTCATATGCACTTAAATGTATTTGTTTTTTCTTGGTTAAGGCGTTATTTTGACGTCCAATGTGTTCAAAATTAAGCCTATATTGAATAAAGAAATTTTGACTGTCTTTGATGGTTCGTAATGGTTAATGCGCCTTGTGCGCCGTGTATTGGATTCGACGCCCACATAGATCTAAACTTTACGTGGTGTACAAAGAATTGTTTAGTACCCGACGGCTTTGGGTATAATTTGAACCAAAAAATATTCGGCACAAATGCGAAACAATTAGCTGTGTAGGTCATACAAATACTTGTCTCTGGCGGTAATCGCACCCAGGAGCAGAGTGCACAAATAATTTGTGTGTTTTGAAACCGATATAGGAACACGATATAGGAATGAAGGATATAGGAATTGAACACGATATAGGAATGAGTAAACGCAGTAACGCCCATACAACATTAGTAGAGACGCGCCGCGTTGCCCCTGATTCCCAGGGCACTTTGGCAAAACTTGTAAGTTTTGTACATAATCACGTCCACCGTTATTCGTTAAAGTGGTTCAGTTTTGACAATTATACGGTTGCGCAAGAAGTCAACGCATATAATTGTGCTAGCGGTGTTCGACTGGTCGCATTATGACGGTCTCATGTAATCCGACGCCGTGTGTTCACGGTCGGCGGCCGTTCCGCGGTTCGATTCCGCGCACCGTTACGTTCAATTAGCGGCGCGTGCCTTTGGCCAAAGGTGCGCCGCGTGCGCCGCGTGTGCGCAATTTCGTGGCAGATGTGGCAGCGCAGCGCTCGCTGTGCCTTACACGACACGGCGACACGGCGCACGGAACTGCAGATACTTTCGTGTTTTCAATGGTGACTCAGATAGCCGGAGCCCATTTAACTGCAACCCCAGAGGTGTTCAGATGTCCATAAGTAACTGCCTCGTTTGCCAACTTCGACATGCATAATTAGGGATTATAGGATTTGTAGTAATAAAGGTATTCTGCAAGTAGGTATTGAACTCTACTTAGTAAGTAGACTTGAGTTCTGTAACCGCTAGCGTAGCCAAGCTCTGCACTACGGCAATATTAACATTATTTAAAAATGGATTAACGTATTTGATCACAAGAGTGAAGTTGGTCTCATCATCTCAGTTAATAAAGTAATTTTTTTTTTGGTGAAATTTATCTTGAATGCGATTTAGGCTCGCTTATCAATTTCATTTACTGTAAAAAGTTTTATAAAAAGTGTTAAAGCATAGTAGGTAGTACATACATAGAATAATTCATATCTATCAAGCAACTGGTTTGCTACTATACAGCACTGCAGAAGTTTGTGACATTGCACGAATTTACTCATTCGCTTTTGGAGTATCAAAGGCTAACAGAATAAAATCACGTGGATCATTTGCCATCCTTTTGAATAAACACTTAAGGGAATTCTATGATCAAGGCAGCATGTTCATTTGGAATTACGATAGAAACCGTCTAGTGTACTTACAGGAACACAGCGCAATTGCTCGAATCCATTCTTTGTGGCCATTTCGAATCATTATATTTCTATCTATCGAAGTTGATATTACACATATCACAAATTTGACGAAACGCGACTAAAGACCGCTTGGCACATGTAAATGTTGACGCCCGACGAGTCTTGCGTGACATCCAGAGCGGTAACTTTTTATAAATGTACGAGACTGTTGCGTTAGAATTATGACAACAGCAGGAATCCTTTTACATAGCCCAATAAAATTATGCTACAGTGCATCATGAGCAGCAATTGCGTGTAACTTTGCAAAGAAAAGGTAATGCAATAACAACTGTGGAAAAATACAAATCTTTGTTTGAATGCTTATGGCGTAGCGTCAGCAAATGACGACATCAATAAGTCGATTACAAATAAACATACGGTTTAATTCTTTATTAAAATATGAATGCCGTGACAGGATCTAGGTTATATTGCCCTGATAAGTACTGATATTTATAAAACAACTAAAGTTATTTAAAAATATCAAAAAAGTGACTGCAGCCGTTCGCGGCAAGACTACTGAAAAACATCATAACCCGATCGCCAGTTAGCAAAATGGTATGCTGACCAATAAAATTAGTTTTAAATTTTGGACTAGAGCGTCACTGCATATAATTGTAACACTCACATCTTTTATTGTATAATCGTTATTGCGCAACATAAAAATCAGTGTCGATACAATTAAACGCATTCGGAACTAGATTTGCCGATTACGGATGCTCGCAGTGTCGTGCCAAAGGGCATGGATGGGGTTCCGTTGCGTGTGACATGGGGCTATTGCACGCCGATGCTAACGATGATGGTCACGTTCGTTACGCTGGAACGTTACGCCGATATCAAAAACTCCGCTTGGACGGAGAGATTAATCTAGAATAAAAAAAAACAAAGCTTCTGAAGTAGTATAAATAATCTGTTGAATGAAAAAAAAAATTGTGTCCAAAATACAAATGGACAACAAACAAACATGAAGTTTAGTATCTGCGTCCGTGTCAGCTCGTTCTGGTAGATCCAATTTTCGATTTGAATGCGTGAGAGACGGATTGCTCTTCGCGTACCAGATCAGAAATGTGTATTCAGTGCTTTCGCTGTCGTCTATAATGAGGCGATGTCTCATCATAGATACTCCCTGCCTCGATACATCCTGAGAAAATTGGTTTTAACTCTTAGCCAAACTATGTTCTTACATTACCACTTCCAAAAATAGGATTCAATGTAACTTAAGATGTAACGTGGAGGTGTTGTTCAATTAAGAATTATGTAGTTTCGGTAATGCAATAAATTTAATTACGCCAGCACCTCCGCAGCTGTGGCCAATGGGCGGGCGGCGCCGACACGAGCGCTCGCCCTGGGCACGGGCGGCACAATGGCCATTTGGCCAAGCCAAGCCGAGGTCAATCGGGCCACAATGGACACCAATTGGCCGCAGCCATCTTGTACCGCGGGAGACGGCACCGATCTATTTCTGTAACAACGCGAGAACCTTCTGGAATACTGCAGATGGTGCGGAAACACTTCGTCAATTTGTCCTTAGATTTCATAAGAGTTATTGATAGGTTATATATAATAGGTTCAAACGGCAAAGGCATTAAAAATATGTTCGAGATAGGTAAATGAACGTCAATAACGTAACGTAGGGGTCAGTAATGTCATTTTAACTTTAATATTTGGCCGCAAATAACGTAAAAACAGAATGAACAATATTTTATTTTGAAGCAAAAAAGAACCTTGAGTTATGGAGGGTCTCTAAACGAAATAAGAACAAATTTTCTTGATCTCAACTGAATCAAAACAACGAGATAAAGAAACCGACATGGATTGTTTTCAATTGCCTTCACGGCGAATGATCTTGCGTTTTTGTTAAAATAGTGGTAATGTGTTGTAACGAAGGTTTTGGGGATGGTAGCAGTGCATTATTACCTTAAATCATCATGGTGTTCATCAAAAATTTGATTAATCCTCATAGTTCTGAAAACTAAAAAATGATGAATTCAAAATTTGTAAAAAAAGGGACGCAAACTTTCTCCCCGTTGCGGAAATTTAGCTTACTGGTTAAACCGTTAGGGCGCAAACCTGAACGACGTGGGCTCGACTCCCGCAGCTGCGTGAAAATGTTCGTCCTTTTTATCACAAATGTTAACATTTCATCTAAAGGATCATCATCATCTTCTGCCACGAAAGACGATCTTACTACTTTTTTAGTATTTTATGTGATTTTTCAAGTTGTCCTTGATGGAATTTGTTTTGTTCACAGAAATAATTTATAGATTTTATTTTAATAAAAAAAAAAGATTAGAGTACAATGTATTTGTCTCTTTAAAGGTATGATAATTTGAGATTGACACGGACGAAGTCGCGGATGTAATGGTATGCGGCTTTTTTTTAATCAATCGAGAGTTGTCAGAAATATTTAAGAAATAATAACGTACTAACTAAATCATGTAATGCATATGATGTAAGCTACTGATTTATGCAGAATCTTATAAATATAGAAGTAGTAGTATACAAATTAAATTCATTGATCTATAAATATCAAAGAAGATTGGGCCTACTAAGATTAGCAATTAGGTAAGCTTTCTTTAGCCTTTTTTTATAAGATGGTGACATGCGGTGGCTTCTCTAGCGCCTAGGTAGCGCCACAAGCGACGCCACAAGCGTGCCGTGATCCATGAACGCTGGCCATCGGCGATCGCCTCCAATGGTCAGGCCATCGGCGATACGCTCGATCATCTCTGCGACCTTATGCAATACGTTTATCATTGCCTTTTTGCCTGTGCTCTTTTTTGCTTCCAACGTAGGCGTGATATTTAATGAACTATGATGCTTATATACTGGTCGCTTTAAATAATTATCTAGTCTTTGTCTTTAGACGCTTTAAACAAATTTAGAGAAAATGAATTCGGTACCTTTATTTCAATTATAAATAACTTATTTTTACTACAAATACTGGGCCTCGGCGTCAAGTTAATGCGCAAAGCCTGTCTATCAACAGCTTTATAATATAAAAAGGAATACATTAATGATAATAACTCCTGGGAATGAGATAATCGCTCCCAAACTCTTTCTAAACTATACTATATATATATATATATATATATATATATATTAATATTTTGAGGAAAAAAAACTATACATACGGAGTTTCTTTCCCCTGTTTCTTCACCGCTAGAGGAACTTCATTACGAGGCGGTGGTAGATTTGTATATTTCTTAAATCCTCGCGAGATGAATGTGAGCGTGAACACCGCTCGTTTTCTGGTCCAATGGGTCATCCGCCGCAGCCGGGACTCGAACCGGTTGTCCACAACGCGCTCACGTGTTCGCAATGAAAACTAGTCACCATTTACATATTTGTCTCGCTATATTTACTCCGAATAAAACTTGTAGTAAATTTATCACGTATTTTATTAAATTTAACTACTAAAATGTTTTTATCATATATTTCAAAAAAACGTCGCCTAATTTGTGTTTTACAAATAGTGTGCCTATTTATTTTAAGGGATGTATATGGTGTTGATGCCGGTATTTGGGAAGTTTATGTTACGGTTGTAGTAAATAAAAACGCAATCAAACGTTGCGAAAAAACAAAATTAAAGTTGTTGGAATCTGATATAAATAATAATATTTTCATTGCCTTGCTTATGTAGGGCGACATCGTGAGAGCCATGTGCTTCGACATCCGAGGCTTAAAACTACTCATGATTCGTTATTTTATATATCTTATAATTAGTTGTGATTTGCTTGAAGAGATTAATAAGGTTAATTTCTTTCAAACTCGCCATATCAATGCAATTCAAATGGCGTAATAATACATAGTTAAGTTTCGATTTATATTACACACGTGCCCGGTTAATTGCGTCGATTGTCTATAAAATATGCGTTGCTCTGCTGTTTTGAATTATGTATTTGAGTCTTAATGGACACATGCTCGACCAATCACTCCTTCGCTGTGACGCGGTAGTTAGTGCTCTTAATAACAATGTAAAAATGTTTTGTTATAATAATTTTAGTTTATAGTGATGATGTTCAGTACAAATTGTGGTAGCTAAAACCTATTTAAAAGAGTAAAAGATCCATTAAGAACGACTGCAACTGCATATATTCCATCCATATAAGCAAATCGTCAGTTCGGCTCACGGCTCAGATGCGTCGCCCACTGAGCCATGGGGTCAACAAACTTGATATGACCTCACAATGCAAATAATATTATGTTCGTTGAATACGGTAACAACTTAGTCTCTTTAAAAGTATAATCGTTTACGTATTTTAAATATAAGCATATCTCTATTGCTCAATTAATTATGTAATGTAAGGATTTCCTCATCCGATTCAAATATACTGTGTTACAAAGTCTGTTTGTATGTGGTTGCGCAGTAAAAGGAATCACTTAGTCCCATTTGATGGCGATTGACCATGAGCAATAAACGCGCAATCAGAGTACGAGCCAATTCTTGTGTTGCGCTGTGGCATCGGCTTGCATCTCAACCAGGCGGAAAGACTGCAGAGTAAGGACAGCGGACGCCGAACTTGATCACTCGTTTGTGCTCGTTTTCGTAAGGTCCTATCGACAATGGCATATTGCACATGACGCTGAAAAGGGTTCCAAACGTTAAGAACCTAAAATCGTATTAAAACCCGATAAAATCGGTTGAATAGTTTCATTCATTGAACCATAATTATTATTGTACTAGCGACCCTCCCCGGCTTCGCACGGGTGCAATGTATTGAACATATGAATCTTCATCTTGAATTACTATATCTAGTAAAAAACCGCATCAAGATCCGTCGTTTAGTTTTAAAGATCTAAGCATACATAGGGACAGACAGACAGCGGGACGACTTTGTTTTATACTATGTAGTGATGCACAGCAAAGAGACGTTTACATTTCTAGTGACATTTTACCACAGTCACTCACTTGTTTTGCCTTACCGTAACCCCTCCATTAACAATTAAACTTAATGGTATGGTATTAAACTTCAAATTCACTTTTAAGTATTAGGTATTACGAGTCTTTTGTACGGGAATATAGAAAAGTGTTGTTTTTAGACTTTTTCAGGCAATTTTTTAAATTTTTTTCTTTCATATGAACCTTCTTCTGATAATAACAAACACAACCAGCCGTTCACGCGTGATGGCGTGACCAAGGGAAATAGGGATTCATTTTTATATATATAAAATAGACTACACTAAAACATTTACCAAAATGACATTTATTGGTATTGTGCAGTGTTAACAAACGCATTATTACCTTGTTTTCAATTAAAACCATCGACATTGATTCTAAGTTATCTCCACCTCTCAATTATCGGGTTCGCGACCTCTCGGCGCAGTTATCGGCGCACTTGCCTCGATGAGCTGCCTGTGTGTGCCTGTAAGTTCAGTACAAGGGACTATGTCCCTGAGCGTATGTTAGAAACCGTTATAGGTATTTGATTATGCATTCATTTAATAAACGTTAACAACAAGGTTGAGTGCCGCGTAAATATGTAATGTACATAGGAATGACAATGTAGTCAATTGCTACGTTGCGTTAGGATAGGGAGAAAATATCGTATTGGATAATTTACTAGAAACATCAGTATTATTACTTTCGCGTATGACTGCAAGGTGATTAAGAGTATGGACAACGCTACCCATTGGATTATTATCATGACGCTGATTTCTATTGCATGATATGTAAATATTTCCGTGGAACGTTAGTTTCGTCTTAAGCTCTTGAAACCGATTTACTACAGTCGCCATTCGTTCGTGACTTGAGAAACGTAGGTAAGCTGTTAATGGACCTGTTCTTCTTTCTTTTGGCTTTGGGATATAAAAAGCCGTTTGAAAAGTAGATGGCACTATTCACTGTACAACCGCGTTGCAGCGGTTACTGGGCACACTTGGTGGTTGGCCCTTTAGCCACCATCTTGAATATAACTAGGATTAATACGACGTTACCACTACCGAGATGTTAAAGTGGCACAGATTATACAATTCCTACGCCACACTCGTACGGAACCGATCTGTTACAGTTCATTCACTCTCGCTTTCTTTTATAGTTCATTATAACGACTACCGCAAACACTCGGGTCAGCCTCGTGAGATCTTGTTCCGTCTTTTATCGGAATGACTCTTAAACAGAAATTAAAGGCACTATTTTGTGGTAAAGTGAATGTCTACAGAATACCTAGATAATAAATAAGGTCATTTAAGGATATCATAAATAATTTTCATGTTTAACAACTTTGTTTAGAATACGTTGGTAAAATGTAGAAAAGTTGGCTATATTAACATTTCTGGATTCTAGTATAACACAAATGCGTACACACATTATTCTCCTTTTATTTTAATGGAATGCAGTTATTTAATATCAAATTAAATGCTAACGGATGATGTAAAACGATCCATGCCAGTATAAAACACGACAATTTGGCGAAACAAGGTACCGTAATATGCGACTAGCCAAGCAAGCACTAGCCTTGCGCGCTGAATATTTAATCTGTGGTATTGTTCTCGAAAGAAAAATCGGTCTGTTGATTGACCGTGAGGACTGTACTGCCGTAGTAGGTACTGCTGAGTTTTGTAAGATTGAGAGTAACACTCGGATAACCTTTTCTCATTAGTAATAAGGTGGATATTCAAACTCCTTACGTCTGCACGCTCACTGTCGGCGGCATTCATAGCCATGTTGATCCACTGGACGAAAGTACGAACATTACGAAGTCTTTTAATATTAATCCAGTTAACGGTTACATTTGGTATCTATCAGTAGGTATCTGTTTAATTGATGTAGCATAAGACAATGCAAGTATTGGCATAATGTAGGAAGAGCGTAGGAGCACGTTTGTTGATTTCAACCAAAACGTTGTTTGTTCAACGTTATTGTTTTTTGATTTAGATTTTGCCTCCTCTAATACCTGCTTTTTGATAAAACAATTATTCGCGCTCTTTTCCCAACAAAATGTATTTTTAGTTAAAAAATAACATTTACGAAATAAAAATATTAGTGCGTATAAAACAACAAAAATTATTAAACATCATTTTTTCTTTTTTTTAAAAATCCTTACTAATATTATAGACTCAAAAGTCTGACTCTGCCCTCATGCATGCGTGTCGGGCGAGATTTATGAAAGTAGATCAAAGTGAAGTAACAGCCTATATATCGTACTGCTGGGCAAAGGTCTCTTCTGAACAGAGGGCATTTGAGCATGGTCCAGGTCCACCAAACGAACTCACAGGATAGGCCGACTTCACATATATTCAAAAAAAAAATATTACTTCTAAAATATTCAGGTTTCCTGATGATATTTTTCTTCAGCGCAAAACACGTGATAAGCCAGCACATAAAATTTCAATTACATTTCCATTGGTGCAGCCACCTGGAACTGAACGGGTTGCTTGAGTATATTGAATTAAAAGCGAGCGTACGGACACTGAGCTATGACGGCCATTTAAGAGGAGATTTATAAACCTGTAAAAATTAAATTGCGTAGTATTTATTGAAGTAGTCTTCTTACAAGTAAATAAGATAGTAATTGAGTGACAGTTTTGCGTGCGTACCTAATGACCGGCCATTGCGTGTGCACCATTAAGAAAATGTTATTTTGACTTGAGCTTCTGGTCATATTATAATTTCTTCACCTTTCCCAAACAATAATTGGACTGACATTAAATAACCTCTGACCACGATATTGGTTAATTTATAACTATCTTATTGAGGGATCTCTTTTACCGGCTTTGCCATAATTTATGCCCAAGGTAGTTTTCACTGAAATTTGTTACGTTTAATAAGACCTTGCATAATCACAGAATCATTAATCGACTCGAAAACAATTATGGTGGCGTAAATGTTTTTTTTTTCAATTTATGAAATCTAGCAGTCTGTAACCAATCAACGAGGTGCAATGTGCATTCAAGCATTTTCAAATCTGCATTGATTCGCAAGCAAATAATTTAAGACTGTAATGATATTCGTGTTGAAACCAGGGCTGGTTTCGTAAACCTTTCAATAAAAAGAAACACTTGTGTTATGTACAACAAATATCTGGTAAATATATCAATGCAAGTAGCCGTGCGCACTCGCGACACGCCAAAGAAACATCGCGCTGGTACACTAAGCTGGGTTTTGAACTGGTTTCAATTAAAACCGGCGCCGCGTTTACCGACCGCGATGCAAATCATAAACGTTGTGTTGCGTCAGGGGCTCATGAGTTTCTCGTCGTAAACTGGTGGAAACTTGAGGCCGCTCAGTACGTCGGTAACCATAGATAACTAGTGTTGGTTTAAGGCAAGAACCTCCATGGCTTGATCTACTTTTCTACCTCCTAAAATAGGAACGGAAACAGCGAAACATGTTGAAATGAATAATCACAAATGCCGTAATCTGTTAGTAAAATGTTTTGCTTTAATCTAAATTATCATTGCATTGGCCTAAATAAAACATCATTAATAATAATTATTATTTCCCTATTTAAAATATTCCCTAAGATGATAAGTTCACCCTGAATTGCAGAAAACATGTTAAAGATTTTGTCTATCATTTTAGAAGTTTAAGAAAGTAAGTAGGTACTTACATTCAGTAATCCCGAAACATTGAGTTTTCATCGACATATCGGCTTAAGTATTGTGACAGAGAAAGCCATATGGTATAAATATGCATTGGTGGATTTCACTGGGTGCACGCTAGTGGCTCACGTGCGCGATCTGCTATGAAACATTTCAAATGGCACTCGTGGAAGCTGAGAGAGCGCACTTTGCTCCGGGAGACTGAACACCATTCCCGGCGGTTACGAGTAGTGCTCTAAATTGGTAAAATCTTATGATATATATATATAAATATATTATGCTTCGAATTAAGTGTTCCACGTGTCATATATGCATATCGATGCGACAGAGTGGAAGAGAGGTGGTAGGGGGTCCTCAGTCCTCACTTTGCTTTCAAAGTCGCGATATGCAAATAATCCTTAGAGCTCCCCGTGAGAGTGAAGACGCAAGTTACACGTATATTTTATTAGAACTTCAGTGGCGACAATAATCTAGGCGATGATTATTCCGCCTTAACCACATCTGATTGTGAGCTATTTCAAACAGAGAGAAAAACAAATGGACGTTTCAGAGAACCGAGTCTGGTCAACAGTTGTTTAGAAATCACGATTGTTTTGGTCCTAAATAAGATCCTAGACGTCTGCCATTTCGATTCTTTCGTCAGAGTAATGCGACGTGATTGCGCATTGTTGTAACATATGAAACACACGCTTTTTATGCTCTTTTCCATTCGCTGTATCAAATTAGTGATGTTCAGTAAAGTGTGACCGCTTCACGCTCGGCCGCCCGCGGATCCCGCTGATTGTGTACGCAATGTACTTATTCTCCAGTACGCAGATGAAGCGTCCTCTTGCGACTACACATGCCACACATGGACATACTACAATCATTTAAAACCTTCTAGTGTAAACGGTAAACGCTACCCTGTACGGAAGAATAGGTAGTAAACGAGAAGACGGTGCTCTGAATATATCACAGCATCCCATCGAATTCTCCAAGGTCAGAAGGGTTTATGGTCAAATCACTCGCCGGTGTTCCGAGAAGCCACGGTTCCCGCCTCGTCAAGCAGGCCCCTCATGCAACGGCAGGAGCTTAGCTTAAAACTGTGCGTAAGGTAAGTAGCCAAATAAAAAAAAATATTATTAATGTTAAAATGATAAATATACCAAGCATAAAATGTGTGATCTAATATTTGTTTTATTAATACGCGAAACAAACACTTTGTACCCCTTTTTACGAAAATAGCGCGGATGGAGGAGTATAAAATTTCCCATACTCATAGTTTATATAGAGAAGGAGCGTAGAAACATTACAAACACTACCATGTATAAATTAATTATGGTCGAATTTCGACCACTAGTTTGTTTTATTTTGGTTACACGACCAGTAGAATATTCGTGGTAGAGTTCAAGACACGTCCAAAAACGCATTATGAAATTCAGAATTTGTTTTTCAGTCAGTCATGACAAGCTATCCATTCTAGACGACTTACAAAAAATAGAATATTTAAGATTTGGCGGTATTTATCAACAAGTAAGTACTTTTCGGCTTTATGTTAAGAAAACCTTTTACAGTGACAGTTGTGCGTTTGTGGAATTCTTTGCCCCTTCACATTCGACAAGTTGACCGCCTATTGTACTTCCTTTTATATTCATTTGTAATTTGCTTTTAATATATATATATTTATTTTCGTGTACAATAAAGTATAAATAAATAAACCAAAAACGACTTCCTCAATTTTTCTGCAACCTCCTATAACTGGTACTGTGGAAGTAAAAAGGTTACTTGCTCGTTTGTCGCCACCTATTTAAAAATTTTTCACTGTTGTTGCTTGTTATATTACAAAACAACTACTTATATGGAAAAATTACAAATCGTACATATCTACATACTTAGTATCTGTAAAGTAATTTAATTGACATGAAAATATTTTTTTACAAATCACTTTACAAATGTTTGCGTGGAAATTAAAATTTTACGTAACAACTAAATAATAACTCTCGAGTATATTTGTGGGCAATTTTGCCTCCGTTCTGCATGTAAGTGTCACTCACCCCTATTAGCCAGCCCTCTGGAGAACCCGAGCCTGGCACAAACTGCCAGAAAGCACCTTAATGTTAAAGGCGTAGAATACAAAGCGTCATCACGACGAAGGAACTTTCATGTGACATATTAGGAATGCATAAAGCTTGTCGAATACATTTTTTATCTCTGTCCAACCTAACAGCTAGGCATTTGTGTTCATGCATTGACCAGTCACAATTTCAGATAATAACGTTCAATTCACTTTAACTGCTTCTTTTATTACTTTTATGTGTTTAGTTAGCAATTTATAGGGACTAATGCCACTGGAAAATAAAATACGTACATAATATGTTAAATATGTACGTAGAAACACCGTCGACGAGTCGATGTCGTTTAACTAAATTAATGTCCGAGATATATACAAGTTGTAGGAAAATTGATATACTAATAACTTGTGTAATCTCATATAGATAACTTAAAAATAATAGTTTTGGGTAACAAATCCTTAAAAAAATAACTTATTGGTGAAACTGTATTAAGTATTATTTACATCTGTACACGCACATGACAGACAATGAAAACGCGCGGTTCGGTATCCGGATTTGTTAAATTGACATTAAGATAACATAAAAAGAACCGACTTCAAAAAAGCTCTATTAGCAAAAAGTTTAAAATAATACAAAATCTAATATAATCAAACCTATTTTTTTAGTCTAAGAATTTTGCAAATCCGTCAATATTTACAGACAGAGTTATGTCCGAATTGATAAACTCCCCCTTTGAAGTCGATTTAAAATATATTTGGAGTTTAGTCTGATAATGATTGTCATATGGCTTACTTTTAATATTGACCGTTCCAGTCTAATGAGATTGGCTAAAATGCTTTTTTTAATTCGTGGATTTGAATCCTTATTGTGGTTAACAACTACAAACGAAGTAATGTCGGATATTTTGTCATTACTGCAAGTATTATTAATGCAAGTAGAATATTGTTTTTTTTGCTGTTAGCGATATGTCGGCTTCCTGGAGTTCGCATAGTTGTTGTTAAATAATGCATGAACATGCGAAATTCGCGATTTGATCGTTGTAATGTATGTATGTGCTAATTTCAAAATTCAGTAATTTAAAACTGACTCTGCGCATTTTGTTCCATTTTGTATTCTTATTACATCGCAGCAATACATAATTATTAATAGGGTTCTTTCCGCTCATGAAAAAGAACAGAAATCACTCTCGGGTCGAAGCATGAGACCCCGCTGCTCGTGATCTTCAAGTTTCCTAAGGGAGAGGAAGTCTTTGCAGTTTAAGCCGTCTATGAATGACTCTATGTCGCCCAAAGCATGGAGCGGCCGGAGTGTATGTGGTAGGTACTGACTCGTATGTGGCATGGCGGCGTGCTCGTGACTGCGAGGAATGGTACGACGGGAGAAAGCGTAAAGATGCCCGCTGGACCGCGACAACTCTCCGCAGATGCCGGCCTCAGAACAATGCCGCATTGTACGACGGCCGATCGCGCCCCCGGCTGGACGGTAGATGGCGTTGGCGCCCCCGTGATCTTAAATACAATCAAACACGTCCTAGTAGACATTATAGTTTCCGTTGACGCACATTATTAACACTATACGTGTTGAGGAACTTCAGAATAAATACTTAACTAATGGATGTGAAACCGGCCGATACACATTTCTAAGTCACATTTAAGATTAACAAGATATTTTTCATGGTCACTGTGAGACAGTGAAAGCTAATCGTTCGTTACCACAATTCGTTCAGCTTCTGAACGAATTGTGGTAACTGATTCATTATTTATTTCTGAAACCAGTGGAAAATAATGAATGCCGTTGACTTTAAATCATCAGTCCGTGAGAAATAGGGCAAGTATTGTGTAAAGCCTTAAACAATCAAATCAAACGTTTTTAATCCTTGAAAGTACTTATTTATTGACAATTTAATCATTGGAAAACTGTATTTGAAATTTTAATATTCAAGTCCACTTTACGAACAATGTGCTATTTAAAATTTGGTGTTGACTCCATGGCGCATTTGCCAAGGTATTGGCTTCGGCGTCGGGGGTAGTGGATTCGATTCCCATACGGGCCAACTATTTGTGTGACCTACAGATAATTGTTTCGAATCTTGGTGTTTGTCCACGTGGTATTTATGTAAGTAAAATGTCCTTACAACACAGGATAATGCAACAGGATGTACAGTAAGGGCAACATTCTAAACGAGAAAAAAGGTATAGTTTTATCGTTATATATAGTGATAGTGATGACCAAGTGACGACCAGTCAGATACGCTAGACCGCAGGTTCGAATCCCAATGAGTTATATAGAAATGAAATTGTTTTTAAAGAAATAGTGGATTTCAAATAGACTAAGTATATTACACCCTGCTGTATATGTATAACCTGTTTTTGCTCAGATGAAGCGAAAACATAGCATCAGAAATAGATTTATGAGTAACACGTTTAACTTATAAATGGAATAAACGAATTAGTGAACTATTACTTAATCGGACGGATTTGAAAGTTGATTTCGATCCGTCCTATTTTTACACATTAAAGTATTTGCGACACGGAAATGTTGAACGCAGTTCTAATTTAATTCTCTACGTGAGGCAAGGGCATGCCCCCACCAATCTCGCCTCTCGCAATACTTGGCGAAACGTTAGAACGTGCCTTTATTTTAATCGCTACAAGTATTTGGCCTATCACTATATTTTGACATATACTTTGACATTAATAAGTTTGGATATTTCATGTGTTATTGTGATTACAATTAAAATGTAAGTAACATACCTTAGAGATTTGGAGCGTAGCATCGTTTTGCTTTTTCGCTTGGCCGATGCGCCGATGAATATTCTATTCCGGTTCATAGCCCGCGAGTGACGTGACGAAATCAAAGACGGACATGTTAAAGCGAAAGTACAAACAAAACGATAGTCGCAATCGAGACCAATAAGGAAGTGAACATTTGTGGAGCGACACCGCTTGCGTAACCTCCCCTGGCCGAGGAGTCCTCCAACGCTGGGCAGTCCCCACTGACCATAAGATGGGACAGTAAAGCCGAATGCCATATAAAAGTGGAATTTTCTCGAAGAAGCATTGTTTGTCTGATAGCTTCGGCTAACTTTTGTCGTGCAGGCTATTTGAAGGAAAAGCAATAGCCCAATAGGACTGGAGGGGGCATAGAGGTTTTATCACAAAGATTAAAAATAAGATGGCCGATTGGCATTCGACTGTAGCTCGGATTGAATTTTTAATTGATAAAGTGCTACTCGCACTCGCGAGCGTTTCAAAGAAATGAAAAGCGCTAGAAAGTGTTTGTCCACAACTTCGCTCATTTCGTTAATTAATGAGGGTAATTGTGCTAGAAAGCCTAAATCGTTTTTATCGCGCTAGCTGCAGTCTCACACGTAAATAATTATTAAATCGCGTGGTAGAGATATTCAGGAAACGCTCTTGTTGCAAAAATAGACAAACTCGACCAAAGGAGTAGCAAAGGCTGAAAGTTTGCCGTAAATTAACGAACTTCTTGAAGGTACGCAACACACCCACAAAGTAAGCGGTGTGGCGGGATACTGGCGGCGGTACGTATACATAGTGATGTAGGGAAATAAATTTACCTGCTCATCTTTTAATATTAGGATAGATCTTTTAAAACTGGGCTACACGAATGGGCAGGTCCGTCCAGGAAGGTACCACGACGTCACAGAAGATCGGCGTGAAGTGGCAGTGTACACTTAGGTATGCCTTTCGTCCGGTGAAAGAGGCAGCCGCATAGTTTTATAGTTTAATTAAAACAATCAAATATTTTATTACACAGCTGCTAAATCTATTAAGTGAAAGTTTTTTACTAATAAATATCATTACTTAAAGTATCTCCTCCTCTGAAGCATAAAAACGTGCAACTGGTTTAGAAATAAAATTTAATATTAATATCTTAGTTAATATTCTCTGTTAGATATAGCGTGAGTTAGTTTTTATGATAAATGCATTATACCACGCAAAGTTGGGAATATAGGTACTTAGTATGCAATTTTTTTTTAATTTCAAATTTTTGAAACAAAATAAAAAGTCTATCAATAAAATGTAATATCATCACTATTCAAATTTCTCGATCTTGACGAGATTTGGATGGTGCTCGGCTCTGCATCACTGTTCTTTGATTATAGTTTGGAAAAGTAGTCACAACATTTAAGAAACTATAAAGCCTTACCTGAATCGTTGGCGAGTTTTAAATTGTCATTAATTGGTGCCCAAGGCGAAATTCATTTACAAGCAAGTGTCTCAATAATTCATACTAAAATACTTACATAATGTTACTTATATAGGCTTATTGATATTTTGCTATTTTAAACAATGTTTATAAGTTATTTTAGAACTTTGGAACAATAGAAATGTTATGACTATAAAGTTTAAAGAAAAATTGATTATATTTTTTAAAGTAAAACTTAAAAGAGAAAATGAGAAAAAACGAGTTTTTATATTTTATTAGCTGGCGCAAAATGATTTAAAAAATTTCAACCGTATCCTTGTATCATTTTCCTCGGGTCCAAAGTGAAGGGAGATCTTGCGATAGGCTGGCATGGGTCATTTGTTGTATTATATATAAAACATGTAATGTTTTTACATGTTTTATATTTAGGTGTCGTTAGGCCTGCTACAAAACTAACGACGCCGCATTTCGGCCAGCTTGGCTTTGGGGAAGACGGCTTCACAGAAGGCAAGAGCAATGCATATCTTTTGCATTTAGCTCGGTCACCGCGCTATCCGAGGCCTATTTTGACCAATACATGCAACCCAGCCGGTGGTGTTAGTGTCAATAGGTGATCCCTCCCTCATAAAACACAGCACAAAAACATTTTTCAGGAGTTATTATTCGGTCATGGTTACAAATGGTAGCATTTGCAAATCTATTGTTTGTGCAAATGTTTTGTTTTCTCCTTATCTTTATGGTACTTTGATAGCTCCGTTTGTACCGTGACTCAGCTGCATCAATCTTAATGTGCCATTGTCTATGAGATTGTGAGTTTTCTATGTTATTATTAAAATTCCTACATTACCGTCGAGATAAAAAATGTTTTACAATATCGATATTATTAATAAATAGTATAATAGTCCAATCTTGCTCTCTGTTACTTATCGCCTGTTACTTATTACTTAGGAAAATAAACAAAATATAAAAGATTGATAATAATTGGTAAGTGTCCATATGGTATATATGTAACGCTGCAATATTGTATTCACATAAATAGTGTGCTCTTAATGTCACAGTGACGTGAATAATGCCTATCTGAATGTTCAGCCGAGGCCAGACGATGAAACCCGAGCAGAAAACGCCCACTTTTTGTTACTCCTACGTTTTTGTTATTATCGTTTATGTTATACATGTATTGTCGAATGCTTTCTGCACAGTTCAACCTTTTGTTCAATATTTTAATTTTGAAATAATATCCTATATGATAAGATAAAAAAAACAAAGAATGTGATTGTAAACGCACACAGGACAAATAATTCTAATTGGCGTAAGGAAATTGTACAGATTTATTTTAAAGTATGTTGTTATTCCAAATGTTTGTGAAAAACCTAATGTAGTTAAGTACGATAGTTAAAAATATTTTTTTAACTCTTGTACTGAATTACATTGAGTTTTACGTCGCTGTGTAAAACAATAAAATGTGTAATCAGAGTTGGTTGATGACTTTCCCTGAGGATGGTGATGTTTTAAATAAAAGTGAAAACGATATTACCTCAATTCGGAGCCACCGGAGCGTGCACATGGAGAGCAGCTTCGAGATGGATCACGTGTCTTTGAGGAATGGTTTGGTGTAGTGGAATCAAATTACTTCAAAATTACCTTAATTCTGTGTATTTATTTTTCCTAAACCCATAATTTCGTACGTGCTTATTTAATTGAATGATAACATAACGCAAGACAATACAGAATTCCTTAATAGTAAAGGACAGGAAAATAGACAACAGCATATTTGATATGGTAGCAAAAAAAACGAATTTTTTGATTAATCTTGGTGTTTCCTCAATCGGCAATAGTATATAGCATTAGTGCCTATGGCCTGTATTTCGACAGTTCATCTGGCTCTTGCAACGGAATACTAAATAAAGTTGCATCAGTGCTATTCTCATCATGCACGAAGCGATTATTACGAAGGTAAATAGTTTTGCTATTGGTTACGATTTTGTCACATAAAAATATTCGAAATATAATAAAATCTGATCAGATATTTCGTATTTGACTAACAATTATGTGTAAGTCAGCATGCATTAAGTAATTGACTGACCCTTTTCTACGAAACTTGTTTTACAAAGCAATTTTTAAGTATATTCGCATGTTCCTCAACGTCTCGTTCATTAATCTGGATTTAATCCAATGCCATATGAACTCGTGGCCGACATAAACCATATGCTGTATTTTGCCTTGGCCTTTAGTGGTAAGAATAACTGTAGACATGTACGGTTTAAAACAAACTTGTTTCTTTAAGTTTTATTTAAGAATTATTATTACCAGTATACGCGTAGGTTGGATCAACAAGTCCATTCAACATAAAATCTATTAAAATATAAAGTGATAAAGTGGCAAACGAACTGGCGGTTCACCTGATGTGAAGTAATAACCGCCGCCCATGGATTTAGCAACACCCATAGGGTTGCAAATGCAGCTTTAAATAAAATGGGCCCCGGCTACCTCACTCACTAGACGAAACGCAGAAGTGTAAAGGCCCATTTACACGATGCCATTTTCTTGTACAAGAGCAATTATTTGCGCGCAATTTATTGCATTCAATTATTGAATGCAATAAATTGCGCGCAATAATTGTTTAGACCATTTGTTGTTTAGACCATGCAACTCATTTATTGCTTCAATTTAATTGTATACAACAGGCAAGAAACTGGCACCATGTAAATGGGCCTTAACACTTCTACTTTACGCCTGTCTTCTGTGAGGTCGTGGTACTTACGCGGACGGACCTGCCCATTCGTACAACAGTGAACACTGTTGCGTGGCCCTCACGCAGTTAATTTTTTTATCCCTATCAGGTAACGGTGTTTTTAATAATGTGTAAAGCCTCTAATTTTTCTATTTAAGATAATAACATGATTAACATATTGCGCCGACACTACCTTCTTGTGATAAGGACAGGACAAAGAAGACTGAAAAAAATATAATAATGGTTATAAAAAGAAACTGCACCGACCCAAAACCGCCATATTACTGCTACAAAGCAAACGTGAGATAAAATGTGTCAGATAAGTCAAAGCGCCTTTAGTTTTCTAAAACCTTGACTTGTTGCGCCAAAGCGAATGGTCCGCCAGGCAGGGTGTGTCAATTCCACTCATAGGCTTCGTGGTTTTTACTGGGAGTGAAGACTAGTAGGTAAGTGCATAGTACCTACGTTTTAAAATGATGCCAGAAAAAAACAACATCAATTATACAAGTGGAATTGAATATTTTCGAAATGAGGTTTTTATAAATAGTACTTTGGCTCAATTATTGTGAATAAAAGAGCATATTATACATTTTCCTTATATACCTCAGATAATGTTTGTATCTGTAATATACAATCTGGTACAATCTGGTTTGCTAAAGGAAGACCTCGAAGTGGTGCTGCGGCATAGAAGAAAGACTATGGAGGAAAACGAATAGAAAGTGGCAAAACTCATAATGTAAAAACGTATATCTCATCAACATAATGAATAAAATTCTAACGACCTAATTATAACTATTACATACATTGATATCTTCAATGTACGACCCATTGGAGATATGTCATCAATGTCTTCAATAGCTTTATTCAACTAGATTTAATTATATGCAATTATTTATAGGACGAGGGACGAGGAGGGTTGTTTATTAATAGCGATTGAGAAATTATATCACTTCAACAGTTTCAAGTATGGCGATGTGAGCCCTCTAGTTAATGGGTGCCTATCGAGTTAACATTCGGGCTGCGTGTACCGTACTTCGTGTTGTTGTAATCGTTGGCGCTAGTGATGGGACGCTGCGCTCCTAATCGTTATCGTTGTCAT